GGGCCGGGCCGGGCCTGGCGGTGCGTGTGAGCTGAGCGAAGGGCGCGTCCTTGTCTCTGTCTCCCGCAGTTCACCCGGTACTCGGCCCTGCTGGTGGGGATGATCTACGGCAAGAAGCGATACGGTGAGTGCGGCGCCCCGGGCGGCCTCTCCCCCTCCCCCGCGTGGCCCGCAAGGGCACCTTGAGGCGGGCGGTGCGGGCCGCGCAGCCGCGGGCCCGGCCGCCATTGCCACCCTCCCCGCCGCAGCGGGAGCTGCCCAGGCCTTGCCGAGGTGGTCCTCAGAGAGGGGCTTGTCGTACGAATGGGTGACTTCAAACCAGCAATTGTGCCTTTGTGCCTGTGAAACGGTTTTCCTTTTCGAGTGAGCTAGCAGGTGCTGGGTTCTAGGAACTGTGTTTTAAAGCAAATGTGTCCGTGACAGACTACCTAAAGCCTATTGCTGAAGAAGAGAGAAGAGTAGAGGCTGAAGAGAAAAAGAAACGTGAAGAACTTGAGCGGATTGCAAAAGAGCTTGCAGAAGGTAGTCCGTTGGTGTAATTTACGCATTCTATGCCAAAGCATGCCCACTGGCTTGCAGGTGGACTGACATTTTACTGCAGTGTTTTTAGGAGAAATTTAGGCTTACAGGCAGTGGGCTGAAGGCCTGTGTGGGTCTGTGGCACGGTGGTTAGGGTTATGTGAAAGGTAAATAGTACTGCTGTTTGACAAGCTCTTCAAAATGTAAGCATCAGTAGAGGAAGGGTTAAAATCACTTTTGCAGCTGAACAGGACTTGTTAAATGGTTATCTGAATTTCCACTGAGAAAACAAACTGCTAAAAGCTGATGGTTATTCTGTGAGGAATAACTGGAGCTGTATATTAACTGTGTCCAGGTGTCCCTTATTCAGCTGGACGCCGAAAATCCCTTTTCTCCATGCAATATCAAAATCTTACAAATGTGCCTGACCTAAACCAGAAGTTGTAGGCAACTGCTTGTAATTGCACTCAAACTTTGAAGTGGTATTACTAGCGTAGTATTAGAGGTCAACATCATTTGTTGTATCTTTCATGTGGAGGGAATATGCTGAAGGTGATCAACTGGGATTAGTACTGTTTTTTTCTCATTCCCTTCCACTCTATAGTATTCCTGCTGCAGCATGCTTTGCCTTGTCCTTAGGATTATTTTTTGGGTCCCCTGTGCATTTCTAACAGAGGATTCCTCCCCTCTAGCTTAAACTCACCTAGGTTTTTTTAGGTGGACTTACAGTTAAGCAGAACTTGAAGAAAATTAATAACTCAAGCTATTCGTGGTGCTGCTACACACTTAGTAACTATTGTCCTGGGAAGTAGTGATGTTTGCATTGTTCTAAACAAGGCTTAAGATTGAACAAACCTGTAAAATTAAATGAACTAGACATATAAAATCAAACGTGCAAGTTGGTGAATTGTATCGCTTACTAGAGATAGAGCTATTTTGCACAGCTGTTTTACAGTCTTAAATATATAGTATCCATTGGTCATGGACTAAATAAATGGGTCTTTTGGATGTTTTGAAGTTTAGCTGAAACTTTTTGTATTTTTGGATATAAGAAGCTGTACTACTATGTTGCTACTTCACTTAATAATGGAATTCTGTGCTTGTTTCTTTAGAATGTTTAGTATATTTAAGAGGCACACAGATGACCATTCTGCTTTCCCAACGGTGCTTTTGGTGTGATTTTTCCAGTTAGAAAAGCAATTGTTAAAACTTTATTTAGTGCAATGCAGTTGTTGAAGATTGTTCTTTAAAGATGGATAACTGGATCTATCTGTAATGATAGCTTTTTCTGGCCTCATTCAAATTGTCAGTTCAGAAAACTGTCATTTACTAATGAGTAAGCCAGAAAAGTGCCTTCACCCCAAAGCAATGAAATACACTTCTGTTGAATAAGCAGGAATCATAAAAACTGTCTAGACAGAAATGGCATACTTAAAAGGTAGCCTTTGATCCCACTATGCTTTGCATGTTTTAGTACTGCATGGGAGTGATTAGTAGTCCTAACTACATATGTTTTTATTTCCCTTCTAGCAAGTGAAGAGTCCATACTGAAATGAAGAAAAGATTGGATCTTAATTTCACATGTGGGAATACGTGGCTAGGCTCTGAACTCTTAAGTGGTTGGTGGACTTTGCATGGTATTCTATCAATAAAGTACTTAAAACATTTCAGTTGGTATTTTTTGATTGAATTGTACAGAACAGCAGCAGCAGTACTTAAAGAATGTGACAGGAAGCATTTGTCACAAGCTGGCCGTTGCTGCAGCTGAAAACACCCTGTTGTATTCCTCCAGCAACAGCCAGTCACTACGCCTATTACTCATAGGTAATGTTTGTGATCAGAAAATACATAAGTATGGGCATGTGGGGGAGGCTGGTGTGGCACTGACTGCCTTGAACCTCTTTATTAAATGGCTTAACCAGGGAGTTGGTGTTATCTTTTTTCAGCTGTGTTACCACAGTGGATTATTGCACAATTCTTGTATTTGACAGTGCAGTCAAATTTGATTGTGACTTGTCAAGCCATGCTGAGATCTGAGGAATTGGTGCTGACTCACTAGGCAGATATTTCTGAACACATACCTTTTCAGATTTAACAAATGGTCAAGTGTTGTTCCCCAAAACCAAGAACAAGTTACAATCAAATTGTAGTTTGCGTCTTTTATAAGAAGTGACTGGCCATGCAGGTGACTGATATTTAAAAAGTTAGTGGCCCTTAATATGAAATTGAGTCTGCCTTTAGCATGTAAGCTGTTAAGGCACCTCCTCAGCTGTACAGACCTCAGGTGTCCTAGAAGAAGGTAAAAAGCTGATCTCTGTAGATTGTGGTGTTGAGTGACTTGGCTTGTGGTGTTGGTTTTCTCACTGTAAGAAATACTGGTAACTCCAAGATTCAGGGGGTCTGGTTTCTTACTTGGACAATGGATAGCTTCCTTTTTCTGATATTGCAGATTAGACAGCTGAAGCAGTGATTTCAGATCCAAATCTTTCTAAGTGATGGCAATCTTTCAGGAAATGTTGTCTTACATTTTATTAAACTAACTGCTCTTAATAAATAGTCTCTTCCAGATTATGCTTTGGAAGAAAAAAATTCTTGACTACCAGTGCACATTCTCGACTAATGAAAGAAAGCAGTCTTAGGGTGTTTAAGGAAATGAAATTAACAAACTTGGATTTAAATTGAAAGTGTAACATAATAATTGCAGGGAAAAGGTGTTAAGATGAGATAGTTTCAAGGAGAAAAGGGGAACAGGAAAATCAACTACATGTTGTCGTGATTGGGTTTTTAGTTATTTCTTGGCATGAATGTATACCTCATGGTATTAAAATGATTAGGTGATGCTAATGTAAGTAAAGATCTAGACTGCCAGTTAGTTTAAAATTCTGTTTCTGTAAAATAGAAATAATGTGTCATGTCCTGACCTCTCAGTGTAGCAGGATGTGTTGCATAGTTAAACAATATTCTTCCAAAAGCCTCTTATTTTCAGGAGCTGGAAATTAGATCTGAATTGCCAGAAACTTTTTTTTTTTTCAGCACTGGTGCTCAGCCCATGTCTGTGGTGCTAGTCTGTAAGCTGTTATATGGGTGGTATGTGAAATAAGTGCTACTGAAAAATGACTGAAACTGAACACTTGGGATTCAGCCGCCACTCAGTGCTTGAGCAAAATGTGATTATAACAGGATACTTATTTACTTCAAGCTGAAATACCTTTACTGCTGTTCTGTTAAGGGCTGGTCATAGAGGTAGGTAATCCTTTTATCTTTGGGTTGCTGGAGCTAAAGCCAGTTGCTAGAACAGCTGTGGCCTGCTGCTCTGCCAAGGGCTAAAAGTGCTCACCTTCACCTGCTCCTACTGTGCCACCTTGTTAAAGTGTGGAGGGTGCCAGAGAGGGGGGAGGGAGTTCCTTCTGTCCCCTCCTTTTACTTCCACCCTGGTGTTTGTTTATGATTTTGTCCCCCCTGAGGGCAGCATGGCTGCTCCCAGCAGAGCTGAGCCTGTCCTTGGTGAGTAAGTGCAGCACATTTCACAGAGCAGGATCCCAGCCCCTGCAGCAGGGTAGGAGGTCTCTCTTTGTAGAGGACACAATGCAGTGGCCAAACACAGGGCTTTCTGCAGCACTAGCTGTCTGGAGTTTTGCTGTCTTGCCTAGCTCTAGGACCACAAATGACTCAATCTGAACTCTCCTGTTGCCTTTTGCATTGTCCCTTTGTCACCCTCCTTCCCCTGGAAGTTGTCTTGCATTTGGGGCCCATGTCTCTTGTAACCTAGCTGATAAATGCTGGGCTGGTTCTAAATGTGAAGGGGACAGGTACTTCCTTTGCAGCCAAGGATGTCTGTCAGATCTGTAGGGATTAGGGTACAAGAATCCCCCACATAGGATGATGCAGAAGTGCCACCATTTCCATATAGTCCTCAAAACCTGGCTGCAGGGCCAGGCAAGAAATCTGTCCTTGTAAAACCTCTTACTTTGGGATGAACTCCCATGTGGGTGGGAAGGGTGCTGGAAGCCTCATTGCCACCATCCCACAGTGTCCTGGTTTCAGCTGGGATAGAGTTAATTTTCTTTCTAGTAGCTGGTATAAGTGTTATGGTTTGGATTTAGTAGGAGAATAGTGTTGATAACACACTGATGGTTTTAGTTGTTGCTAAGTAGTGTTATACCAAGTCAGGCATTTTTCAGCTTCTCACACCACCCAACCAGTGAGTAGGCAGGGGGTGCACAAGAAGTTGGGAGGGGACACAGCCAGAACAGCTGACCCCAACTGGCCAAAGGAATATTCCATACCATGTGGTGTCATACCCAATATAGAAACTGGGGGGAGCTGGCTGGGGGGGCAGGTCGCTGCTCAGGAACTAACCAGGCATCAGTTGGTGAGAGGTGAGCAATTGCATTGTGCATCACTTGTTTTGTATATTCCAATTCTTTTATTATTATTATTGTAATTTTATTATTATTGTCATTATTATTTTCTTCCTTTCTGTCTTGTTGAACTATCTCAACCCACGAGTTTTACTTTTTTCCCCGATTCTCTCCCCCATCCCAGTGGCTGGGGTGGAATGAGCGAGTGGCTGCTTGGTGCTTAGTTGCTGGCTGGGGTTAAACCACGACATGCAGTGACCAGATTATTCTTCTGCCACCCCATTCTGGCCAGGCAATAGATGATTATCAGGTTCAAGCCAAAAAAAGCCAATGCTGAACAGCTACAGTAAGTTTAACACTTTTGCAGCAAGACTAAGGTACCTGTGAACACTAATATATATTACAGCATCAGCTAGGAAACTTAATGTGCAAAAGGACTGAAATGGACGAGTAGATTTTTTTTTTTTTAAGAGAAGGCCAAGAGGTGAACTAAATGTCTTCAACTGAGGGAGGTTCTAGGGAAAACAGCCTTATACTCAGAGGTGCATGGCAAAAGGACTGGATGCAGCAGACACGGACTGCAGCAAGTACGGAGAAAACTCTTGACAACCTGGTGGTCAGACTTTTAACAAGAGTCCAGAGATAATTTTTTTCTTTGATTCTGTGACAGGCTTGGTTACTCTGTTTCATACACACCTCCTATGAATAGGATTCATACAGGTGTTTGGAGCTAAGGATTCATTTTTTTCATTGATAAACACATGGAAGAGAGAGGCAAGCCCATGGAAAGTAAAGGTAATCTGTCTGACTCTGTGCACAAGCAGTTTTGGAAGCAGTCATCCAAAGGTGCAAAAGGAAAGAATTTGGCTTTGCACCTGTGGCAGACTTAAGAGCACTTAACGTGGTTGGGTAGCGTTGCTGAATGCTGGTTTCCTGGGCTATGCATGATCAGGCTGCTTGCAGTTGAGGGAATTCAGTCCCAGTCTTTAGCCCCTGCAATCCAGAGAAAGCTGATGGAATTGCCTCTAGAGGAAAGGGGGAATGTGAGAACGGACTGCAGATACATCTAAAGACTGCTGCAGAAAGGATGGGCATAAATTCTTTCCCAAACTGCTAGACATAACAAGAAAAAATGGGGAGGATGTGTTAAATAAGCCTTTGATAAGTAGCTGCTGTCACTGAGAAATAAGTGAGGCCAATTCCTGGCCACATGACTGCATACCAAGCCAAATATTTGTCTGCAAACTTGATGAAAATTGTGTTTGGCAATGGATTTTGACATAACGGAGAAAGAGCTGTTATTTGAGCCTAAGGCTACTGCAACCCCCAGCAGCAAGTAACAGGAACAACTTGTTGAAAGGTGCAGAGGAGAAAGCGGGAAAGAGAGAGCATCTGACCCCAGTTGGCATTACACAAGTGTAGGGTGCCAAGGGGAAGAAAGCAGGGAGAAGACAAAGCAGATAGCTCTGTTGAAAGACAACTTTTTCTTGGAAAGAGGTGAAAACTGAAGCAGGAAGTCAACCTGAGACCTGTTGTCTGAGAACAGAAAGATGAGGAAGGAAGCAATAAGAAAATGCCTTTTCTCTCAAAGGTTATGAGAGAGAAGATCCCCCATGTTTGCTCTGTAGCCTGGAAAACACTGCAGCCACCTTTTCTTCTGCTGGAACTAGGTTTGTCTGACTGTAAAAGGAACTATGCCTTAAGCCTTATTGTTTCTAAGACTGCTCCTATCAGACATATAACTAATGATTAGAAATTTTTTTAGATATAAGCACCTGCATTCTATTAATCATAAAACAATATGCATAAGTTGCTTATTTGTCCTATGTGTCTCCCCCTCCATGGCTGGCTTGAAACCCAGTCAAGCTGAATCAACAGAAGAAGGATCCTACATCTTAGACCTAAGACATGGGAGTAAGTGATTAACTTTAGAACAAGATAAATTAATAGAATAGCCTGAGTGATTTTCAGAAATTCAAAGGTGATCTTTGATGTGTAAGAAGATAAGTGATTGTGGTGACCAAAGACCTTATGCCTACGACCACTAACTTCAATTCTCGTGTCGCGGTTCTTCTGATGAGATAAGATGGTGAATGATAACAACATGGGAACAGAGATCGACTGGAAAATTACAAAGACTTTGTACTGGGACAATGGGTGGTAAAAAGGTATATAAGATTGGGAAATTTTTGGAAGGTTGCCATTCACTGCAGTGGTGGCCCAACTCTGAGTTGTTAATAAAGCAAACCTAGAGAAACCCATGACTGAAAATCCTTTAACGCTG